TGAAGGTATAACCCAGAAAGATAAAGATAAAGGATGAAATGGTTGCATTCTTGACTCTATAATTATGTGAAAAAAATTTCAGCTAGCTACCTTTTTCTTACCAATATTGGTACATCTTTACACACATTGCTGTTATTCGATGTGGTAACGACATCGCTCGGTGGGTTGACAGGGCAAGGGATACTGCTACCGCCGAAGCTTGAACGACAGATTATATTGGGGGTCACAAGATCTAAAGATGGGTGAAGAGGAAAAAAGTACAATTAAATAACACATAAGCAAGAAAGAAGTTATTTTTTCAAATCATTTACATATAAGGGAATTCGTTTAGAGGCTAATCAGGAAGCAATTTGAGGCTGTACATCATTAAAATAGGATGCGATAACACTCCGTTATCCTTCATCGTTTATGACGGTGAGTTAAATGCCAAATATGTAGTTTATATATTCATTCAAAGTAAAAGGTATAGAGAGATAAAATTGCTTTGACTGAAGGACATGCTTGCACGGTAACAAATTCATCATAAGCTATTTATAGGAAAATATATCGTATTCAGCACACTCCGATCTCGAATTCACTCGCGGGTTGTGTCGGTGATTAGAAGAGTCCGAAGTTAGAAGAGAACAAGTTTCGATGATTAAGGCTGAGTGAGGCCCCTCTGCAAAACAATAACTTCTCTAGCGACCTATAATATGCCATTGTCTTAATACAGAATCCATGAATTTGGGTTGAATACTGTGGCCATCTCTGCTAATGTGTCAATAAATCGTATGAAAGCGTAAATCCTTGATTATCCATTTGCCACCACTTAATATGGGTTAGCAAGAAGCAAAGGTTATGATGCCTCTATACCTATGTAAAGGCTAATTACTGTGCCTAAAATCTTAATAGGTAGCAAATACGAACCTTGCATTGAAGAGCTTGCAGCTGCGGAAGGATTCGAAAATATTCTCAGGGAACCGGGAGTACCAGCAGCGGCAGGGCTGCCAAGCACACCAGCTAACATATTGCAAGAAATTTTATGTGGATCGGCATTCGCCTGGCTGGCAGAGGAGACTACCCTGGGGCAAATGGAGCTGAAAGGTCTGAGGAATCCTTGTAGGAGAAATAGAGAGGTGGTTGTTAATGCGTTTTTAAAAATTAATTCTAATACATAAGTAAAAAGTGTTTGAAGATAAACGTTCTGCAACGAGATATAAGTTATTACTCTGGTTAAATTAAATTTGTTTATGACCTTAAGGATTGAAGACAAGTGACGGAATTTATACCACTAGGTTGTAAGTGAAAAATACGTATATGGGATAATAAAAATGAGTTAAAATCCCTGAGCCCAGTAGTGACCTGAAGCCTGAATTTCAAACCCCCATGTCAGGTAAGTTTGATGTAATTTAATTTAAAAATTAAGGAGTAATAAGGGCGATTTGTATTATACAAGCAGCGTCTACAAGAAAAGCCCAAGATGCTAAAGAACAGGGATTATGCTAATGAATTCACTTTTGAGAATTGGAAATTTAGATAATACAATGTAATTGAATAACGGTTAGAAGCTGGAGGAACAGATAACCACAATGGTACAAGAGGAAAGCAGCGTTTGCATCTCACAGTTCCCCATAGGCATCGATAAATTACGAAAATGAGGTAAGCATTAATTTATGTCATAAAAAACAATTGCTACTAAAAAGAGTGACGCCAACATAGTGTCCATATCCGAAAACAAAAAATTGAAGCATTCTGCTAAGTGATATTTATAAACAAAGGATCACATAGGACTACATCTATTATTTGCTAACGATAATATGCTTTGGCGAATACATTAGTTCCAGTTATTGCAAGTAAAAGCCCAGAAAAGGTATTTTGGATTAACTCGAAATAAACTTAAGGTAAACAGTGCTTTTACCATAGACCTACAAACACTGGAGCACTATTTTTAAGCGAATAACTGATTATTAAATAGAAATTGGCCTCAGATCCTAAGATACCTCTTTCTTAGTGGACTTTCTGTAATCTTAACTAGCCCCTTTACCGGCTAAGTTGCACCGCAATGAAGCGACTATCTCTGTCTTGATTATTCAACGAACAAATCCGGATCGTTGAGCTACGGCTTGTGCATCACCTGTAGGCTCGTATTTACTTCTAATTCATCGCCTCTGGAGATTTTATATAGGCTTAAGCTAACCTTCAACAATACACGGTGATGCGATAAGATCATGTTATAAGTATTCAATCGCCCAAAGAAGAAGAAAGATTAAACTAACAGGTTTTGCCCTACTCTATTACTCGAGTGGTGGTCGATGAGAGATCGACATAGCACGATAGGAATTAGGCTTTTAAAAAATTATCCAAACTTTCCAAAGCATGGCAATCTTTCAGTAATGCCAATTGAGAAAATTTGAGCAAAGTCCTGATCCTACGAATACATAAACCATGCAATTTAATGATTGTCCATACTTCTTGAATTGTTGGACTGAAGGCCCTCTGTTTTAAAACACAATAGTTAAGACAATTGAAATGCAAATCCTCAGATATATTTTATCCTTTTCAAAATAGTTAGAGAAAAAGAGGGTGTTACTTTATGGTAAACATCTTATGACCAAAATAATTCTTACCTCGTTATGAAATCCCTTAATTTTCACATCTCTCTTAATACTTAATTTACTTCAAATAAAAAGCAGAGCCCTATCAATAATGCCTTTATGATTTTCTGTCTTAGATTCCAAATGGAAATTCTGCTGTTATGCATACAAGCGGAAAGTAGCTTCTATTAGTTACGATAATGAATAATCTATCTAAGCCCACTGATACACCAGACTAAATCTCGTCTCACAAATGTTTGGGCCAAGTATATAGCTGAAAGCAAGAATACAGTTTATTAATAGCTCCTCATAACTACATAGAAGCTCAATAAAATATAGCTAAGATGTGGTGAATAATGTAATGCAAATTATAAATGCTAGTTACTAAAAAGGTATTCACCTACCGGAGGCATCGTCCAAAGAATTGTATAGCAACTTTAATCAAGCTAAAACATTATTGACATATGTGATATTAAGTAGATAGCCTCCTTTTGATTATAAAAGGAAAACAAATAATGGCCAGAAGTTGGGATACAAAGGGAAGTTTAGAACTGCAATTAGTTTATTATTAATATATAAAGCACATATA